GCAAGAATAAAGCTCAACAAACTGAAAAATGCACAATAGAATACAAATAATAAAACTACATCCTTCCCGCGATATTTACACATCAGCCATAGATGTGCTATATAATAATGATATGATAAGTCTAACATCTAGCGTATGATTCGACCCAAGTAACAAACAAACAAAAAATCATCACAGTAACGGGAAGGGCTGGGAAAATTGTCATTCCTTTATAAAAGTGACCATACCGTCATGTTAACCCCATACCGCCCGGGTTGTTCTAACACTGGCAACACGGAATCTGCTTGCGAGCATTGCTATATTATATCATAGCCGATGCATACTGCAATCCACATCTCTCATTCTCACCAGGCAAGCGTCAGTTTGACCGCTGCCGCCTGAGTGACGAAGTTGCAGAACCGGTAGAATTCTTAGCAATTCTCAAATTCATCTGAGTAAGTTGGAGCTTTGCTGCCGTTCAAATGGTTTCATGCATTTGAAATTAGCGTTAAACGATAATCACTGCCTACCGCATCATAGCCATATGCCGTAATGGTAATGTTATGCCGTGATGTCAATTCCATGCCGCAATGTTGGTTAAGGCCACTGGTCAAGATCAGATCAAATCAGCAGTGATACTCAGCACCAGGTCGAACTATGTGACGTGATGTTATGTGATGCTCCCCCACATTATGCCGTCTTTAGCGACCCACTTTAATGTTATTAACGGTCATTGCAACGGTAAATGTGTAGGTTTGCTAACCGATTTATCACAAAAAAGGAGCGCAAATCAGCTGGGTGTAGCATTTATAAGCTAACCTGAAATCGCCTTTGCTGATGGTCTGGCGTGGCCTCGTATCGTAAGCACCACTGTTCTGGTGAGCCATATTTTTCATCACTCTTTGTCCATCCACTAACAAATAAAATGGGACAAAATATACGGTAGCGGTGTATGCTTCGCGACCATTCCGTCCCAAAAGATCCAAAAGCATTTAAGACCGACGCTGGTTAGGCGGTGCACCGTCGTCTTTACGTGGCTAATCTGCTTTTGGCCCTTCTGTAGGCAAGCCATCCTTGCCTCCCAGCTGCCGCATTGTCTGCCAGCTGTCCCAGCAGCTTTTAGATCTGCGCGGAAGGAACGACCTAGTGCGCCAATGCCGGTGTGTGGTGCAGCTTTTCCACACGCATCGCACCATACCCGAGTGGAGCCCTCGGGCGAGTGGCGGGGTCTTACATCAGGCCTTTCTTTAATCGCCAAAGACCGCTCCATGAAAAAATCCGTCACACGACCTCGTAACGGATCCATTTTATGCGTTGGATCCAGCTCGGACATACGCAGGCGTAAATCTTCCCAAAATCTTTCAGACCGGTTTTGTCCTTTGAAAGCTGAAACTGATCATCTGAACGTGAACAAACTTTTGACATACAACCGGGAAAAATAGTTGTTGATATGTTACCCGGAGCATGCAGACCGAGGTAAGGAAGGTTGTTTAACTCAGATATTTAGGATATTTTGACTACACGTTGACAGAAGAATGGATTGAAGCATTCGTTTATCTCCTGAGCCTTTTTAATGACTCTGCTTGCCTTTTCTAAGGATGGCTTAAGTGCTGACGCTGTCAGAAATGATCACGTAAAAAGTGAACGGTTTGGAAAAATCGCCACTGGAAAAAGGAGGCACGTTTTCAAAAGCAATCTTAGGTGATTTTGCCTTGTCATCCCATTGCAATACTGTTTCTTTTTATTTCTGGTGAGCCTTGACATGAGGCGGGCAAGCTTGAAAAAACACATTGGTCATTGTTGCATAAAGGGTTACTAAATGAGGGAAAGATTACATTAGTATTTAAGACCTTCCGTCCAAGCATTTCGTGCCGATAGGCTTCGACCAGTTACGCAAGTAAAAGGCATGACGACTTTGCTGTGTTAAGTGAATTGGACACCTCTAAATTGTGTGGGAAATATCAAAGTAACATGGATTTATAGACAGATTATCGTTGTGTGAGGACCAGGCTAATCGTAAATGTTGTAATTGAAAACCCGCCTCTCCGCCATAGTAAGTAGCACTGGCTTTCTCGTGTCAGTGGCGTGCCTCTGGAATTAGACTCGTTGTCAATGTACGCGATGCCAGAGGCCAACCAGAGGCCAGCCAGAGGCCAACCAGAGGCCAGCCAGAGGACAGCCAGAGGACAGCCAGAGGACAGCCAGAGGCCAACGAGGGGCCAGCCAGAGGCCAGCCAGAGGCCAACCAGAGGCCAGCCAGAGGTCAATCAGAGGCAAACCAGAGGACAGCCAGAGGTCAACCAGAGGACAGCCAGAGACCAATCAGAGGCCAACCAGAGGCCAACCAGAGGCCAACCAACAGAGAACAGCCAGAGGCCAACCAGAGGACAGCCAGAGGCCAAACGATCATATCAAGCGACGGCTGATCTCAAAACAAACCCCGCTGCAGCCCCTTGATCCAAAAGCATGGCATCGCGTCTCCACCCTTAACTTTACTATCAGCATATATAGTATGCATTATCCGCTTGCATTCTATTACTGGAGACATGTATTGGCCCCTATTAGTGAGATTGTATTTTCTTTATAAGTCACTGAACAATGCTCACGTGGGCAGCTAAATGCCCAAAGTCCTACGCTTATTGCTCTTGGATCGGCCCTTTGTAATTCATATGTGTAACACGCAGCTTAATCTGATATGTCTGGATGTAAAAGGTCGTGTTATAACTAACTTCAGTCAAGCATCGGCCGATTATAGTCCGTGATTTCCCCTGATTTACCTGACTGACACGATTTCTAGACTCGTCTTGGAATTATGTGGGACACACATCTTACCGGGCTACGTCAAAATTATTTTTAGAAAGACACACATATTTGAATGCTACCTTCAACGTTTTAGGACGCAGGTTCTCAAAACCTACATAAGATATATATGTTCACGCTCATTGAAGACGGGATGAACCCTTCGTCGGCTTTGATCCAAATAACTGTGTGCACTACAAATATGAACTCACGCTTATCAGATGCCACTGTTTCAACGATAGATCACCCACATTACTATGGGTAATTAAAGCGCCCTCTTCAAGTATCCTTGCAGTCTTTCCCATTGGTCAGTATCCTGGCACAACACGCATTGTTGTTGCGCAACAGCTTACCCATAGTTAGGTGAAATGTTGAGATTTAACTTGACTTACCCTGCCCCCCCCCCCCCCCCCCAGCAGGCAACAAGAAATGAATAATCCCAGTCACATCAAGTTATCTCGCTTTAGATCACGAGTAAAATGGATGGGCTCTCGTGCGCTTAATTAAGCTGAGCCTTGTCTCAGTCTTGCCAAAGACGCGACCCTGTAAGGAGTTTAACTGAGCCTACCCCGCAAGAGGTTGATTGAGCTGGTATGACCTCATGATGTCACTCCTGACGTTAAATGATGTTTAAATCCAAAGTTATGGTGAACGTTCTTAGAATTCTTCACCGCGATTGCGCTACCCGGGAGCACTGGGGCGGTAACCGAGCCTCGCGGCCTGTGTGGTGGGGATGGGCGCTCACCTCGTCTGGATCAGATAGTGCTCGATGGGACTGTTGTTGGTCTGGAAGCTCGGCGCCCAGCTCAGCTCCACGCGCCGCGACAGGTGCTTGATGACCACCGGCCGTCCCGGCCGACTGGGCACGTCTGCAACACGCCATCGTGAGCCGGGTGCTCCTCGCCAGCCCCAGAGCCCGCGGTCGCCGCCGTCCGCCAGCGGGCTCACCGGGCGGGAAACGGCCGCTGCATGCATCTGCCACGTAATCTCGCGTCACAGCGCGTCAGGCACGACAAGTTGCAAACTCAACAGCTCAGGGGTGGGAAGGCAGCTCGCGGGACTATCCAAACCTGCCGCCTAAGGGACGCAGCGCGTCGCCCCCACTCGTCGGGGTCGTCGCTCGATGGCCGCATCGATTGCCGGCGTCGGCCGGCGGCGGCGTCCGGAGGCACGGCGCGCTGTGTTTTCACGGGATGTCTGGCGGCCGGCTTCGCGGGCCGTGCCGAGACGTCGGCGCCGAAGCCGTCGCGGCCAAACCGGCGGGATGGAATCACCAGCCGGCCGGCGCCGCCCGCCGGCGGCCGGCGTTGGCTGGCGCTCGGTGGGAACGCAGCGGAACAGCTCGCGGAAGGACACGATTTCCTCCGCAGAAAACCGAGAGCGGCGTCCATGGGAAGGACAGATGTTCGCGAGCCCTGTCATCAGGAGTGTGGCCGTTTGTTTGACCGCTGCGGGTTCAAATTGCCCAGGAGTACTGCATACGCTGACAGCGTGCCGAACCACTGCACACAGAGCAGCACAGCTCAATGCGTGGAAGTCCACACGCCAGTAAGGCCGATCCGGCGGAGCGCTCGCGCTGGTGGGAAAACTGATCCAGACCACCCGGACGCCTGCTCTGTCTCCGGCGGAGCGCTCGCATTGGTGGGGAAACTGATCCAGACGAACCCACACGCCTGCTCCGTCCCCGGCGGAGTGCTCGCGCTGGTGGGGAAACTGATCCAGACGACCCACACGCCTGCTCTGTCTCCGGCGGCGATGGATTACACCACCACGCAATCATAGTGGTCTGCCGACCCATTCCGGCATAATGACCCTATTTGGCAATTTGATGGCTACCATCGAGGCGACGGATGGATAACGCATATTGGGGCGGCAGACTATGTGGGCCGGCGTGATATACACCAGCTCAAAGAGAGGCAAAGATCAGCATTAGGCGCATCACCGTACACGGGCTGCCCTGGCCCGGCCTAGATGCATGCGGTTTCATGGCAGCCGCAAAGCTGCAGTAGTATGTAGCAGTAATATGAAGTGGTAGGTAGAAGTAAGCCAAAGGCTTGTAGCAAGCAACAGCGTAGGCGATTATGTGTTGTTAACTCTGGTTCTTGCTAAGCGTAATCCGTCCTTACTTAGATAAACAACCATGCGCTCTCTCTCTCTCTCTCTCTCTCTCTCTCTCTCTCCTCTCTCTCCTCTCTCTCTCTCTCTCTCTCTCTCTCTCTCTCTCTCTCTCTCTCTCTCTCTCTCTCTCTCCTCTCTCTCTCCTCTCTCTCTCTCTCTCTCTCTCTCTCTCTCTCTCTCTCTCTCTCTCTCTCTCTCTCTCTCTCTTCTCTCTCTCTCCTCTCTCTCTCTCTCTCTCTCTCTCTCTCTCTCTCTCTCTCTCTCTCTCTCTCTCTCTCTCTCTCTCTCTCTCTCTTCTCTCTCTCTCTTCTCTCTCTCTCTCTCTCTCTCTCTCTCTCTTCTCTCTCTCTCTCTCTCTCTCTCTCTCTCTCTCTCTCTCTCTCTCTCTCTCTCTCTCTTCTCTCTCTCTCTCTCTCTCTACTCTCTCTCTCTCTCTCTCCTCTCTCTCTCTCTCTCTCTCTCTCTCTCTCTCTCTCTCTCTCTCTCTCTCTCTCTCTCTCTCTCCTCTCTCTCTTCTCTCTCTCTCTCTCTCTCTCTCTCTCTCTCTCTCTCTCTCTCTCTCTCTCTCTCTCCTCTCTCTCTCTCTCTCTCTCTCTCTCTCTCTCTCTCTCTCTCTCTCTCTCTCTCTCTCTCTCTCTCTCTCTCTTCTCTCTCTCTCTCTCTCTCTCTCTCAAGCACTTCTTGATTTTGAACACTGCAGATCGTAGCCATTCTGGCCGGCATTGGATAGAACGAAGGCTTGATATCCTTTCAAGCACAAGCGGGACTGAGTGAGTATGTAGGCACGTACTCAGTCGTGTTTATTAAAACCATGGTTGAGCGCTAGTGCTCCTCAAGACACCTCTTATCAATGCTTGGCATCGCCGTGAATTCCATCGGACATCGTAGTTCTAAACAGGTCAGTGATGTCCCTGGAATACGAGGCCCCGGCTAGGGCTATCACTTGAAGACCAACAGGTTTCTGTGCAGCTGAAACTTCTCAAGTTCAGAATCGCATACAGTCCTACCGCAAGCACATTTCGTGTTGCGTAGATCTGCGTATGTCCCAGATAAGAGTACTGTTACAAGTAGTGGTGGATGTGTTAATCAATCAACGTATGTTTGAATTAGCCTTAACAAAAAGTCAAACATCGTTTTCCAAAGGAAAATAGCTATCGATAAATAACACCATAAAGATGTGTCTCATATTCATATGCAACTCTTGGCATAATTCCGAGAACGCCATAACACCATAGGACTGCCCATTTATCCTCCAGTAATGATCCAGTGACGTCAGTAATGCCAGTAGGCTTCCAGCGGCGGAGAGGCTGCGTCATTCACCCTCAGCACACAAAACAACAATCCTTCTCGATTCAGCCACCGTTGCTACGGCACGGTCTTGTCGCCCCTAAATGACGGCCCTATTCGGGCCGGCCCACGCGCGGACGACGCGCTCCGCCGCGGCTCAGTCAGCTGATTCGGAGCCGAGCCCCGAGTCATTCATCGGTGGTCGCAGCTGGTTCCGCTCCGAGAGTCATCTCCATTTGTGCAGTGTCGCCGCAGTGGTGGACGACAGTGATGCAGTGGGGCCGTCGTCGCCAGGCGCCGCGCGCCGCGCCAGCTGCTGTCCTGCAGACTGGCGCCTGGCGCCTGGCGCCTGACGCAACACTGCCCGCGCGGCTTCAGAGCGGAGCCGGAGCCGGAAGCCGAAGCCGGATCTAGAGCTGGCAGCTGGTCCAGGTGCTGTTAGATGCGGGTAGCGGACTTTAAGGACGCTGGTATCGTAAATTATAATGATGATTTGGACGATCTTACGTAGAGTCGCCGTCTCGAGTCATTTAGCATCGAGTCGCCGTCTCGAATCATTTATAGTCGAGTCACCGTCTCGAGTCATTTAGCGTCGAGTCGCCGTCTCGAGTCATTTGGCATCGACCATCGCGCTGGGGGGCGGGGGGGGGGGGGCGGGTAAGGTGGTGGATGAACAGTGTACTCGAGAGCTGACCACGGCGGCGCTTCTAACCACAGGCTGCCAGCATGCGTCAGAGCATGTCATGACATTACGGCACGCATCATGAGACACGGCTGTTACATAACGTCCGAATTATTGCCAACATGTGTCCTGTAGAGCGTTCCATTGAGGATGCACCGCTCGGTGACCTAGCAACTAACTATGGGCTGCATCGAATTGTTTTCTTGGGCGTTGTTAAAATGCTATGCAACGGCTGAAGTTGAATCAATGAAAGATCACCCGTAATGTAATATTGTTGCAAGCCAGTGCGTGCTGCACCGCTTTTGTTGGACGGTCGTCGCGTGCTCAACTCTGGCTCAGATGCTGCTCATGCAGTCACCGTGACGTTAAAAAGAGAAAACAGCCGGTCCCTAGCGCGGAGAGCACGCCCTCCTGCGGCCTCAATCGCCATAATCCTCTCAACTCGCCCACGTACTGCGCTGAGCCACACTACCGCGGGTTGCGGCCCATCCACCCAGCTGCCATGCTGAAGGAATATGGATCCGTCCACGCGCCACGGAAGGCACTGCGCCGCCCGCACGGCGTTCCCGCCGAACAAGCGCTTACAACAAGCGGCTTACGACGGCGCCGGGCCTTTACCGCGCCGGAGCCGCCCACTCACCGAGCACGGCCAGCTTGACGTGCCGGTCCGCCTGGCTGTTGAAGGAGCAGCTGTAGTGGCCGCTGTCGGCGGCCTCCACCGGCGCGATGACCAACGACCAGGAGGCGCGGTCCAAGTCGAGCCGCGAGCCCTTGCCGTGGATTCCGCGCGGTCCGGGCCTCGTAGTCGACCAGGCGGCCCTGCAATACATGAACGTCACTGCTGGTTAACAGCGAATCACTGCTGGTAGACAGAGAGTCGCTGCTGGTTAACAGCGAGTCAATGCTGGTTGCCAGTGAGTCACTGCTGGTAGACACGAATACTGCTCGGACGATGGGGCATCGATATGGCATGTGGTCATATCACTGTTTAAGGTCTACTTTGGTAAGGATGCAACGCTACCCTTTGACTTGGGTAGGGTATATGAGTGGGACTTGTTATAATCCTTTCAAAATATTGTGACTAATTTCAACGACAGATTTGAACATATTTTTGACGTGGTTCTGGCTCACAGTTGTCCTTGGAACTCTGGCGACAAATTGACGAACACTTTCGAACACCAGAATTTCGAACAGTGTAGGAAAGTGCAAGCTCACGACCATGGCACAGGTTGATTTAATGCTGCGTGACTAATGCACTTCTCCTTGGGTGAGGTCGTGGCCGCGGAGCCGAGAAGATATGTTTGCGCTGCAGAGCTATTTGCCCTCGCGGGTCGTTGGCCAGGCTCACAATGATCGGCCGGACTCACATTTTTGTCCTCGCGGGTCGTTGGCCAGGCTCACAATGATCGGCCAGACTCACATTTTTGTCCTCGCGGGTCGTTGGCCAGGCTCACAATGATCGGCCAGACTCACATTTTTGTCCTCGCGGGTCGTTGGCCAGGCTCACAATGATCGGCCAGACTCACATTTTTGTCCTCGCGGGTCGTTGGCCAGGCTCACAATGATCGGCCAGACTCACATTTTTGTCCTCGCGGGTCGTTGGCCAGGCTCACAATGATCGGCCAGACTCACATTTTTGTCCTCGCGGGTCGTTGGCCAGGCTCACCATGATCGGCCAGACTCACATTTTTGTCCTCGCGGGTTGTTGGTCTTGCTCACCCATCCCTTAGCACACTCAAGGCAAGTCCTGCTCAGATGTGACGTCTACTAGCCGACTTTTAAAGCTCTAGCCATCCTTGCGGTTGTAATTGGCTCTGAATGAATGCTGGTGACAGAGTCACGATACCTTGCTGTCGGCGTGGACCCCGAAGTGCAATTAGGGCTGCGTTACTTTGCTTTTAGGCAGGCCGTTAGTGTCCATCACACCTCTGCCCAGTCACGCTAATGTTCCAGTGATCTATCGTGACGTCACGTGGTGACGCCACGGGAGATCATGACACTGCATTTTCAGGACTCGTGTTGCAGTGCCGTCAAGGATTAGGTCGCGGCACTGTCGTGGATCCTTCATGGTCAGGAATCAGGCTTCGGCGCCTTCAGGGATCACAGCCGTCAGGATTCAGCGCCGTCAGGGGTCACACCTGACAGTGTCCAGCCATCCGGTGATACACCTGACAGTGTCCAGCCATCCGGTGACACACCCGACAGTGTCCAGCCATCCGGTGATACACCTGGCAGTGTCCAGCCATCCGGTGACACACCCGACAGCGTTCAGCCATCCGGTGACACACCCGACAGTGTCCAGCGCCGCTGTCATTGACACGGAGCAGTACGGCTACAGCCTGCCGTCGTCAGCTCTGCCGCGGGCTGTCAGGGCACGAGCCGGCTCTGTCTAGGAATCTGTCCCGGGCTACTGCGGCTCACGAGGCCATGAACAGAGGTCGGCACGAGTGACGGCCCGTTCCCAAACTTCAAAGGACACATTGGGCCGTCTGTTGCGCAGAATATGCGCCATTTAGACCATTAAACCATCGCGAATGGCAAGTCGCCGGTACGAAATCGGGCCCGCCAGCCAAGCATCGCGGCCTACTGCCGCTCTCTGGCCAAGTTTGCGCGTGCCCTTTCGCGGATAGCCCAAGTTTCTTCGGCAGTGAAGAGGAGATTCGATGATCTAGCCATGGGTCCCCAAAATGTTAAGGTTGTTCTGCATAAAAATACAGCCTTGATAGATATTTGGAAACTTTTTAAGGTATTTGGGAGGCAGTGTGTTACATTTGCCCCGCTGCCAGTGGGACAGCAGGTGAGAAAAATACACAACATAACGTGGCCACGGCATACACACCGGGATTCGCTCAGTGACCGTGCCGGAGCGGCCTGTGGGCTAATCGGCTCAGTGACCGTGCCGGAGCGGTCTGTGGGCTAACCGGCTCAGTGACCGTGCCGGAGCGGTCTGTGGGCTAATTGGCTCAGTGGCCGTGCCGGAGAGGTCTGTGGGCTAATCGGCTCAGTGGCCGTGCCGGGGGGTCTGTGGGCTAATCGGCTCAGTGGCCGTGCCGGAGTGGTCTGTGGGCTAATCGGCTCAGTGACCGTGCCGGGGCGGTTTGTGGGCTAATCGGCTCAGTGGCCGTGCCGGAGCGGTCTGTGGGCCGAATCGGCTCAGTGGCCGTGCCGGAGCGGTCTGTGGGCTAATTGGCTCAGTGGCCGTGCCGGAGCGGTCTGTGGGCTAATCGGCTCAGTGGCCGTGCCGGAGCGGTCTGTGGGCTAACTGATGCCTGGTCTGTATACTACGCGGTTGGAAACCTGTGTTGGCCTCTTATTAAATGCAATGAAAATAGTAAGAGGTGCAAAAAAGTATTACTTCCCCGAAAAGATTGCCGGCTCTCATGACCTGTGGCGATGCAATCTAGGCTTTGCACCTCTTATTTAAAACCAGGTCACCTCAGAGGTATCCGTGGGACATGACAGGTAGCGCGTCAGATGACGCATGCGTAGCCACTCCATCGAGACTCATTTGCCGAGCCTTGCGTCGGAGCTAGCAGGCAAACAGCGGGCTACTTCTGAGCCGGGGAATTCTGCATCTGCCGAAGAGCGCTCTCTTGGCACCAAGGCAGCCCCATCCCTCTCCCCCCGCCCCTCCCCCACCCCACCCATATCCCCTCCTTCCCACAAGGAAGCGCGACTGTCGCTGGCTGTGTTGTATGGCCCTCTGGCGTCGGAGTGGGGGCCGACTTGACCCAGAAGCCCCAATGGGCCGCAGCGGATGGACGGCCGTACGTCAGGCTGGGGCTGTAGCGGGTGCAGCTGACGCGACTAGATGGACGGCCGTACGTCAGGCTGTGCCTGTGGCGGCCGCAGTTGACGGGGCTAGACGGACAGCCGAACGTCGGGCTGAACTGCAGCTGACGGGGCTGGACGGAC